TACTGGACCCGACATGGCATGCCATGGCATGATGGCAAGGTCCAGACGATGCCATGCCATGATGGAACATAGCCATGCCATGCCATGGCATGATGGCATGATACCCCTTGCCATCATGCCATCATGCCATGGCATGATGGCAAGGTCCAGACGATGCCATGCCATGGCATTATGAACACGGCGCTGGGATACTGCACCCGGCATGGCATGCCATGGCATGATGGCAAGGTCCAGAGTATGCCATGCCATGATGGAACATAGCCATGCCATGATGGAACATAGCCATGCCATGCCATGGCAGGATGGCATCGCTAGGACTGAAGGACCGTGCCATGTCATGCTATGGTCCGCCCTCCACTGTGTTACGAAGAAGTATGCACAACCTTGACTGTGCAAGGGTCGTTGCACGGCGTGACCCGGCTCAATGCAGAACCATCCTGGACCATTGCACGGTACGACCCGCCTCGATGCAGGACCATTGTATGGTAGGACCCGCCTCAATGCAGGAGCATTGCAGGGTAGGACCCGCCTCAATGCAAGACCATGCTGGACCATTGCACAGTAGGACCATGCCGCGACATGGTGCTGCGTTGGCGAGAGAGTTGGGCCATACCGTGAAAAGGGGACGGGGTCCGGGGTCCCGTAGCCACCAGACCATACCGGGGAATGGTCGACGAGATAGTTGGGCGACCCAACCGTGGCGCACGGCCGCAATGGCGTAACATGTTTTCTACGTTCCTCGCAAACATGCTTACAGCAGTGTATGTGTTGTATACAGAAGCTGCTTCACGTGATCCTTCAAACGGTGCGATGGATACCGGCGACATCAACCGTCATCGACGATTGGACGAAAAAACGAAATTGAGGATTGTCGAGGCACTTCGAGTCGATCCATGGTTGAGCGTGTTGCCATGGCGAGGAAGAGTTGGGAACTGGAGCGAGAGCGATTGGGATATTGCAATGGTAGAATGTCCATGGGCGCACGACTTCAGATTCGCTAACGAGATGGAATGGGGACGACTCATCGAAATATGTCCTGCCTCCCTCAAGACAGCGTATATACTGAACTACGCGAACATTCATTGGATGTACGACCACCAGGACAGTTTTGACCCTCTTGTATCTATTACAAGCCATGAGTCGGACAACGAGTGTTGCGCACAGGATGGAGCACTCTCATGCAAGTTCGTAACCAGGGTTGTCACGGCCCCGGGGGTCCGGGGTAGCCCCGACGGTCCGGTGCGGTGGTCCCCTGACCCCGAGCCGGGAGGGGTAAAAAAAAAAAAAAAAAAAAAATTAAATAGAAAAAAAATCCAAAAAAATATTAAAAAAATATGGTGGAGTGCGCACCGCAGCTAGACACCCCCTAGCGCTTTCTGCTATTTTGCAGAAAAGTGCCCCCCTGGGCCACCCCGCTGGGGTCCTCCCACCCCGCTGGCGGGGTCATTCGGCGGTGGTCGGGGTTGAGTCTGGTGGGCCGGGGCCGGGGATGCGCTGGCGCGGGGCGCGTGGGTCAGGGTCGGCACCGGGGTTCGCCTGGGCCGGGGTCGGGGTGGTGGGGGACGGGGTGCGGAGCCGAGGTCAGGGTGCGGGTGAGCGGTGTCGGGGCCGGGGTGCGGGTGGCCGGTGGTCGGCAGGG